GATCAGTTTTCTGTTATTTGCTAAAAGGTTTATATATAATGTTAAAATGGCTGTGCCTGAATGACAGCAATAACAAATCAGTGTATCGCTTCCTCCAGAGTTGTTCTCATCTTCTCCAGCTGTGGAGCAGTTGTCATTTGCTATTTTTCCAGCTGCAATTTCCTTGCTTGGTTTGTGGCTAAAACCCAACATCTTGATCATTTTCCATCCAGTTTAAGATTGATCTTTCATTTACTTTATAGTAACAGCCAGCAATGCCTGAAAGCTGGCAAAATTGTATTGGGTGTCATCAGCATCAACTTCAAGCCTGAGTTCAGTGAGCAAAGATGAAACAGCTGTTTCATTGTCCAGATCAGCACTCAATATATAGCCGTAATTTTTTCCAGCTTTCTTTGGCTGTGATAATCTTTGTTTCACCGTCATTTCAAATAGAATAGCATGCAACATTGATCCTTCTCTGCAGCGTACCGATGTAGACATTATTTCTTTGAGCTATATTTCGCATTGAACTTAGTTTCAGAGCATTTTTTCGGATTTTCATCCTTTGTATTTTTTTTCTTAGAAACGCTCTTGGCAATTGGACATCTATCATTCTCTGTAGCATACTTACTAGTTGGAATAAGAGTATGCCTTGTTTTTTTAACAATACATTTTTGTATTCCCTCCCTCCCTTCCAGCCCGTAACAATGTTCAGGCACACAAGTTTTCTCAGAATTAAAATTACATTTTAAATCATTAGAATCTTAGTCTTGCACGTTGCTGCTGTGCACTGGCATCAGGAGTGGGAGCCAACTTCAGCTGCCTGCAGAAAGGATCACCTAATCCACTCTATCCCTAGTCTAATCCTCTAGCTGTGGTACTGGGAGCCAGTCGCTGACATAGGACTATTTGTCACAGCAGCAGTGATATGTTTCAGTGGAACTGACATGTAACTGGATTGAGTAATGCTATCTCAAAATTTCTAAGGCTGTCTGGAACTTTGTGGCATAACTTTCTAGAGAATCTGTTTTTGGGCTTTGTTTTGGTTTTTTGTAGGCTTTCAGTTTCTCAGCTGTTTTGGGTAGCCGCATGGTTCATTGGATTCCAAAGTAAGGAATGATCTCAAAGCAAATAATGACTGCAGCATTTTTTCTTGTGAGTGCCTTCAGTATCGTAGGAGTTAAGGCTCTTCTGCAGATGGGGAAATGAGGCCAAGAGAGGGTGGGTCACCCAAGGCCACTTAGTTCCAGGATCATGGTGCAATCTATTTGCCACTATGTGGCACTTCCCTCAGTCTTCATAGTTTTTGTACTTTGCTGCAACGTATGCCACCACCAGGACAACACTGGATCTGCACCCAATTAAAGCCCCTTCTTTGTCACTAAGGCTGATGCACATGAGTGTCGCAGTTATCCCAACTCTAAATCTTAAATACTCTCAAAGGCAAAGTAAAACAAGTGAAGTGTGCAAATGGGGAGGGGCACTTTTCCTGCCATCAAGAGACCTCCCAGTGAATCTCCCTCCTACCCCCAGCACCTCAAAGACCGGTGGGAGAAAAACAGGGGAAATGAGGATGTACTCGGACATTGTACTGGCATATGTCACTTCTAGCAACACACAGAAATGAAATCATGACATTGTGGTGGGATGCTCTAGACATCACCCAAAGCACACTTCTGCTCCTTGCCAAATCATCCTGGCGGGTTGAGAACCTTAGTCTTAATAGGGAGTGGTGAGCTAGGAGCCTGAACTAAGAGTGATCTGCTGCCAGCCTGCATAGTCTCTGTATATTTTTGAGGCATCTTCAAGACTAATTTTTTCTTTCCCTGAAATATGTAAGAATTTTTTTAAAATGCTGTTTCCCCAGCAGATTTTGGGTTTTCTGAGGGGGGAGAGGTGAGTTTAAATGTATTTTATGAAGACCATATTAGGATATGGAAGGTGTTTAGCATCTGGTCTTCATTCTGTTTGATATGTTTTCTTACCGTCTTGCTCTATTTAACTTTGTTCTGTTTTTGATTGGGAGAATTTTAAAAACACTTTACCCTGCTCGACTTGTTTCCCAGCAAGAGGTTTGTTACTTCCCATCTTTCTGGGTGATGCTGCAAATCCAATACAGCAGTAATTACAGAGACACTCAGAATTCCCTAACTCAGGTGCTTTTTATCTTTATGTTTTAATAGTAATCCTTATTTATTTATTTATTTATTTATATCCCACCCATCCCGCGGACGGGCTCAGGATGGGTAGCATCATTATAATAAATACAATTGCAGTTTAAAACACAATATAAACATTTTAAAACAATGGGTACAACTTGAAACAGAAGACAGTTGGCTATAAAAATTCTGGCCCGATGGTACAGGTGAAATAAAGGCCAGTTGTCAGTATTTATTTAATTTATTTATTTGTATTTATTCATTCGATTTATACCCTGCCCTCCCCGCGAACAGGCTCAGTAGGTGGGCAGGTGACAGCAATCTCAGGGAGACTATATTTGGGAGTCTGTTGCCTCAACCAAAGACCTGGTGGAACAGCTCCATCTTTCAGGCCCTGCGGAATTGAAGAATTGCAATACTGGGATATTCCTTTAAATATGACTGCATTATTACTTGTCAAGGGGTGATGAGAACTTTTAAAGCTGAAAAGTAACTAATGTGTTAAATATAACAATCAGCATCCTTTGTTATATAAGCCTTATACTAGATACAGTTATCTAAAGATTCCTTTGCCATGATTCACTGTCTGTAGTAGATTCAGAGTTTCTGTACACCCATGTCCCTTGGACATGTATGTGTTAGGAAACATCCTTCACACATGCTGAAAATGCCCTTTGTTTTTCTGAGAGGGAAAAGAAGTTTCTGATATTTTATTTTGTTTTCTCTGATCTGTATCCCAAATGCTGTACATATGCCTACTTATATGACAAAACTTCACAAACAGTTCGGTATAAAGTATGCAGTTCCTCTCATCCAGCTTCCAAAGCTGCACGCACAGAACCCTGCTAGAATTTTGCCAAAAGTGTAAACCAGCTGTTTGGGGCAGGGCCATATACAAATTTCCTGTCCTATTCCCCCCCCCTTGAAACAATGCATTTTTTTCTTTAGAGGTTTGAAATGAGCAACACCTTCACTCAAAGTTTGAAAAGTCCCCCCCCCCCTTGGGGAGAGAACAGGGAGGGAGAGGGGAGTCAGTTCAATTGCTTTCTAGACTTACCTTAGCCCACCTTCATACAAATACTAATAGGTCTAGACAATGGTATGGTCAAGCTACCCCCCCCTTCAAGCAGGGAACAGAGATTTGGAGGTGTTAAATACTAGAGACACATAAGAAAGGAAATTCTGGAGACTTTAGGAAAAGCTTCTCTGAGTTGGTCTGACCTGGTCAGTGGGTGGGGAAAAGAGAGGTGATAAAACCCAGGTGAGGAAGGAGTAAGGCTCTTTTGTGCTGAGTACATCAGAGCAGACAGAACTCTTAACTGAGGTCTGGAGGAGGTGGCCATTAGCAGTGTGTTTGTTTAAGGAGTTGATGGTAATGAAACTCTGTAAAGATCTCTAACTTCCTAAGCTAAGGAGCCTTGCCTATATTTTAACATCTGATAAGGCATGTATAGAGAGATGGACAGAAGAATTGTGTTTTACCAATTCGTTTTGAGTTCCTTGCTCAATCTGGTGCTGTGCTAGAAGTATGCTTGTGAACATTTTCTTTTTAATAAATACAAAATTTGAATGCTGGTAGTGGTTCTCTGTACCACATAGACCTCCACCGTCTTGAACACACTATTTTAAAAGGCGCGCCAGGAGGAAGGCAGGCAGTTGGCAAGTGGCTATTCCTCCAGGGGTGCACAAGGCAGTAAACTGTCCCTGTGGTGACCAGGCGCTGGACAGCGGGAGACACAGAGGCAAGGCCTCAGAACTTGGAAGGGAAGCTGTGAGTCCTGACCCTCCCAGCAAGCAATTCCTACAAATATCAGGTGGTGGTGGCGGGTTGCTGGAGAGAAAGAAAAGCCTCTTCAGATGTTGGGAAAACCTTAGAGGGCTGGGTAGAACAGGACCTTCAGGCCAGAGCAGGCCCGTTCTGCCACAATCCCTACAACTGCTACTTCTCAAGAAGGGCTCCGTGTGGAGAGCCCTAGGAGTGGCACAAGTACACGGCTGGATCTGGGAACCAGCACTTTGCCTTTTCTCAATCATTGTGATTACTTTGAATTATTTAACCAGGTTTTTTTTGAGAAGTGATGTGTCAGAATATTTTTTATAAATAACAATTAGTACAAGAGAATTGTATGCGGTAAATCCAGCTGTAAAAGCATCTAATAATTCAGATACTTAATTTTATTTAGCACACTGCTGTAAAGAATAATGGTTAATGTTTTAGCCTGGTCTGAGAACACTGAGTGACAGGATTCAAATGGAATGCTGCAGCTGAGAGTGTTAAGTGTGGCAGTTAAGAGTGACCAATTGAGAGTGGAGTGAGAACAATGAAGAGGAGTTAAGCAGAGTGAGAGGATGAAGGAGGATCCTGAATTAGGGAAGTGGGACAGGTAGCCCTTCCCTGAGGGAAGTAGCTCATTGTAAAGGGTGTGTGTGTGTGATCCCTATCAAGTGGTTAAGAAGAAAAATCGAAACTTGTGGGAATGTTCCAGCCTTCACAACCTTAAGCCTCTTCTGTGCCATTCTCAGACAAAGACAAAAGAGGATTTTAGTCGGTCCCTCAGTTCCATAGGCTGGGTCAGCATGTATCTCATATACATTTAAACAACTGGGTGGAACAGACAGCGAAATAAAGAACAAGAAAAGGGACTGCCCAGTCAAATAAATAGAAAAAAGGAATTTGGGAAAGAGGGGAATCATTATAGCTGCTGTACATTTTTAGTTGTGAAGTCAAAGCTTTTCCTAGAAACTTAGGGTAATGAAGTAACTGCTTGTAATACAGTTTTAGTGGAATGAAGTGTCCTTTCCTATATGCTATTCATAGCTTCTGAATTAGTCATCATAATGTGTTTTTTCTTCTTCTGACAGTCTGGATCAGTTTCTCTTGGGACACCAGTAACTAGGAAGAAAGAGGATGAGGTGTCAGTTGGAAGCACGCCTTTAGCTAAGCAGCAATCAAATCAGGCCTCAGAATATGCCAGCAGCCCTGTCAAAACAAAAACAGTAACAGGTATGGTCCTCTTTACATTTACATCTAGCTGTTCTCCCACTTCTGCTTCTTGAAATGCATGTATGTTCCAGCAGGTTCAGCTGTACAAATATGTTGGAGCCCATTTCTGGTGTCAGTAGACAGAGAGGAACAGTTCACATTTACAATTTCTAGAATTTCAGCGGTCAGAATTTTAATTCCAGCTTTAGTCCCCTAGGAGGCTAGGATGTCTTTTCTAAACAAAGTTTTGTTGATCAAATTATTTAATTCTTTTTTTGTTTTAATGCATTAGCTCTTTGATAATGTCATGCCACAGTTTGCTGGTCCAAAAAATAGCTATTAATCTGATGAACATAATAGAACATTTTCTTTCTGCTGTTATATGTCTTGAGATGCAGTGTTAAGTCAGATGTGCTAAGACATAGTTGGTTTGGTTGTGGGAGATGTGGGTACAAATCTAGTCAGAAGAATCATTGAGCAAGTCGCTACCTTTCTGCCTAACCTACCATCTAGGTCTTAATTGTGATGGTAAATGAAATGAAATTAATGAATATTACCGTGTCAATTTTAGAGGAAGAGAAGGATAGATATACAATCAAAAGCAGTAAGTGAAGGCTTGTACTGTTGTTGCTAAATTGTGATCTCATATCCAGGAGCAGGGGTCTCATCTTGCCGGAGCTCCCCGATATGTAGCTCCGGCAGAGACGCTGGGGGGGCGATCACATGGTGAAGCCCCGCCCCCTTCTTCAGGCCACCCTTTAACTCGAGCCTCATTCTGTTGAAGAACGAGGATGAAGCAGGAGGGTAAGTCGGCCTTCTTCAGGCCCCATCCCCCCTTACCCTTCTTCTAGGCCTGCTGCACTCCTTGCTATCATCGCAGCCCAGCCAAGGCTGCAGCAGCTCCTTAAGTTTCTCGGTGCGATAACTGAGTTTGTGCAGATTCAAGGCTTGCTGAAAGGGGGGGGGCTCCGCAGGGAAGCATTCCAGAAGTGGCAGCTCATCCAGCAAGCTGGAGTTTTTAAAAGTGGCACTCAAAAAGAGGGGGGGCAGTACGAAGCCTCTCAAGCTCTTGCCATCAGCACCAGCCCCAAGTCTCGTCATTGTCCTCCTTGAAGAACACGACTCGCATAATCAAGAAGGGTCCGGATCCCGCAGTGGGAGAAGGTGCCCCTTCCATGGATGATCGCCTTGCCGCTGCGAAGGTCCGGCAGGGGCTACGGAAAAGAGTCGGCGGATCTGCGTCCTGCTTTCCTTCCCAGCAGAAAAGTTCCTCCTCCTTCCTTTTTCCTACTCTGGTCCAAGAAAGCTCTCAGCTCCGCGTGGATCCAGCTGACGCGGGGGCTTGTTGCACCACCACACACCAATCCTCCAGCCCTTTCTCCCCCTCCCGGGGCTCAGACACCTTTCCTAGCGCGAGCAAAGCGGTGCTTTATCTCCGCCTCTGCAACTTTCCCTTTCTGGCTTCCCTCAGCCCCCTCCAACACCTCCCACTCCCGCCTACCCGGGGCTGGATCACAGACCCCCCCCGAGAGCAGCGTTGCCAGCCAAAGCGATTAGCGCGATCCTCCCGGGTGACCCCTACGGACGGCCACCGTCTCCCCCTTGCCCCGTCTACAAAACCCACTTTCCAACCCTCCAAGCGTCGCTTTCCCAACCTCCCTTTCCCACCCAAGGTGTGAAAGCAGGAGACTCCCACTTCAACCACCGCTTCTTAAAGGGGAAGCGCAACGCGCGCCCGGAGGAAAGGGGGCGGGACGCGCGCTCGCTCTTGGCTCCCACATGGACCTGGTTGTCTGCGAGAGGCTGTGGTGCTCTGTGAGGCTTTTGGAGGAGACAGACGTGACTGCTGTAGCCTGTTGTCGCTTAAACAGCAGAAAGTTTTGGTTTTGTGGCACGCATTTCTTATACGGAGTAGGGCCAGATGCACGCAGAAAGCGGGGAAGATATCATATACAAATTCCATGGGGCTGCTCGTCTGCTGCTGTCTGCTGCTGTCAAAACTCAAATGGCAGCGCCAGTGCATTCGCGTGTCCGTACGGAAGGACATGTGTTGGCGTAGCTTAATTCTTCGCGGGTTTGCAGTGTTTGTGGTTGGAGAGAGTAACTCTGCAAGCCTTTCCGCACTTATTGAATGCTGTACATTTACTTCTGAGTAAACCTGCTTAGGCTTGCACTGGAACCAGGAGCTGCAAAGGTGCAACTTGCCTACAAAGAAGTGTGTGGGATCCCAAGTCGTTATAGCACATTCCTACAATCACTGGAATAGATGGGGGCGGAGAAAGCAATGTTCCCTCTAATTCTTTTCTGCTACTGAGCGAAGCAGTTCACACATAATATAACTGCTGTAGTCTTAAAGTGGGCAATGGGCGGTGCAAGACCCTGCCAGGCTCCAGACTGCTGTTGAGTGAGGCTTCCTGGGTTAATGAGCGGCTGCTCATGCACACAACTTAGAGGGAACACTGGACCCAAGGCAGATTGCATCATTCTCTCTCCATTTTATCCTGACATCAACCCCGTGAGGCAGGTTAGACTGAGAGAGTGTGACTTGGCCAAGAGCCCCCAGTGAGTTTTCATGTCACAAGTGGGGATTTGAACCCAGGTCTCTCACATACTATTCCGACACTCTTAATCGCTACACCACCCTGGCTCTCAATCTGCTGTACAGTGAATGCTCTATGATACATCATGCACAGTGCCAGAAAGCAACCCTGGGGCAACATGGTGGTGATTTGTTTTCATGTGAAGCTTAGGTCGGGGTCTGGGTTGCATGTGATGAGGTGTGGCCTTATGACACACTTCTGGTGATATCAGGGGGGGTGGCATATGCTAATGAGTTATGCTAATGAGCTCCGGCAGCTCTTTTTCTACAAAAAGACACCTGTCCAGGAGCACACATTATGTATGGTCCAGAAACTCACATTATGGACCTGCATTGACATTACTGAAATCCATGTAATTCTCCTTAAAATGGGAGAGTTTTCCAGTGCAGCCTGTCCTGCCACTGAAGGTACTGCTCAAGTGGCAGACAGCAGCTTCATCTCCTTCCTGTCCCAAGAAAGACCCTTGGGCACCGATGTACTGATGGATGCACAAATGTGGGCGATAGAATTTTGCCCCAGCTCCAAATTCTGTGCACTGTTGCCACAACTTAAAGTTGATCATTTTTAATTGAATAAGGAAGAGAAAATGCTGCAGCAAGTCAGTCTAATTTGCTGTCTGGTCTTCTGAAACAACACTGTGTCTCTTAAATGAACCATAGATATTGATAGCCAGTTGCTAATTATTTAGTGAAATTAATGTTATTTCATTATGGAGGAAAATTTTCTGATCATTGATATATGTAAAAATCTCTCCATTATAATAATATAATTTTTCTTACCAACTCAACCCAAATCTTGTGTGTGTGGTGTGTGTGTGTGTGCATTAACAAGGCATTTAGTTATGCTGTAAAGTAATTCCACAAGGGTGGAACTTTCAGTTAATAAATAACATAGTAAGTCTGATTCATTCATGGTTTGGTTTGACAATGATTGCATCAGATTCTTTACCTTGTTAATTAAACTTCTGTTGCTATCTATCAGATTTACTAGAAATTTGACTGCTCTCTGGTTGGAGCATTTTAGGAGCTAATGGTATTACCCAAAGAGGAGGTCTCCTAATTAATTGAGGGAAATTAGCTTAAAGGAGACAAGCGAGAGGGGTAACTGGGATCTCCACCAATGTTTATGGGGATTATTCCCTTAGAGAACTCTTGAAATGAACCAGTCAGATGTTCAATTGGTAAGGCTTTTTATTAAAAGAAATATCAGAGAACAAATAACACACAAACACACAAAACACACTTGAAGCACACACAAGCTAGCTAAGAGGAAAATAAAGGGAGGAGAGGGAGAAAGCAATTCAGGGAAGGTGATAGTTACCAGTCTTGAAGAGCGAGGTCTGCGGAGGCAGCAGCAAAATGACCAGCATTTCACAGAGAGGAGAAGACCCACACACAAGCAGGGATGTGATATATGGTGCCCAGAACACACACACACTGTCATGGAGCAGAGTGCTGCCGTTATAGGAAGAATGTTCCCTGAGGCTTATGCTGATGTGCTTGTTCCAAAAATAATACCTTGATGAGTTTTTTGGTGGGTAAACAATGATGTAGGAGAAGTTTGATTGGATTTCCTGAGGTGTGCTAAAGGTGTAAATGTGTCTTGTGGACCCAATGATTACAGGACGGGAAAAGCAATCAGGTTTGTGAATAGGGTTAAGTATTGCTAAATTAGGGTAAATGGGTAAGGGGGAAGTGGCTGGACAGTTGCCAGGATTAGTATAATGTGAGATAGTAGTTTCTGGGGAGACTCATTGTTCCTAAATTATGCATCTCCTTAGGGTGGGAGAGGGTCGTTAGCCACCCACTCTGATTCACCTTCAGAATTTTTCCAAGGCTTGTCTCTGGCTTGACTCTTGCAGGTATCCATTTTTTGTTTCAGTTTGGGTCAGACAATGTCCTATACTTATGATTTTTGAGGTGATATTATATGAAGAACATTTGCCTCTTTCTCTCTGTGTGCTAAACTATTCCTGCAGGAGGAGGGGTATGACTGCTAACAATGGCAGCTGAATTTGTCAGAAATAAAGGGTGGGAAAAGTTTCTTTAAATAGGAAATGAAGAATGCCCAATGTTTTACAAACACAAACCACTCTTGCCCTTGCACTCAAAATAAATGGCCTGCCTTTTCAGAATTCTCAGTATTTTTCTCTGTTGACATTCCCTTATCCCTTTTCTGTTTGGAAGCAGCCAAAAGGTTATGTCATCATGGGTCAAGAATTGCCCCTTCCAAAATGATCCCCAGTCCTATGTTTCCATTACCCAATGCTAAGCAGAGCTTTGGAATGTTGTAAGATATTTTTTGGAAATGCCAAGTTTTCTTTTCCTGTTGACTGTTTTATTCTTGATACGAAATAACAGATGTGGAAAAATAATAGGTATAGTACTGATCGTAGTTTTAATGTTGTAACCTTCAACAAAT